GTCTACATAAAGTTCAGTATCTTGTGGGGTTTAGGGTTTAGGGCTCAGGGTTTACATTGTAGGGTTTAGGGTTTAGGGTTTACATAAGGTTTACGATATTGTAGGGCTTAGGCGGTTTAGGGTCCAGGGTTTACATAAAGTTTAGGATAGTGTAGGGTTCAGGGTTTAGGATGGTGTAAGCTCTTTTAGACTCCTAAACCTTACGAGTTACGAGTTTCCCACCTCAAAGTAGTAAAGCCTACATCCCAAGCTGCCTAGACCCCAAAACCCTAAACTGCTGGACTCTTAACCCAGGCTCCTCAACCCGGAAGCCCCCAAACCCGAAACGCATGCCTAACCAAGGAGCAGGTTCAGTTCCACCACTTTCCATGGATTTCGTCCCTTGGAAGATAGTTCCACCTGCCGCAAGAACGAGCATTGGAGCTCTGAAGGGTGGTAATGTAGGGCCTTAATAATTAGAATAGGGTTCCTTTGAAAGGGTTCCTTGAAGGGGTACTACAAAGGACACTATAATAAGGGTTCTATAATGTAGGGGCCTGAATAATTTAGAATAGGGTTTTGGGGCAATTATGCTATAATTATAATAAGGAGCCCCCAAAATAGTATTGGTAATTATTAAGGCCCTTGTGTTACGGAGTCTAGGTTTCGTGGGTTGAGGGTTTAGTTCAGGGGTTAAGGGAAGGAGGACTGCGTGCGGTTACTTCAGAGTTTGCAGTTTACTAGCTGTTGTAAGGGTATCTGGGGTTCTTTTAGGGTCGTTTTTACAAAGGTGCCGAAATATTTTGCGAACCTAGAAAGGGTCCCCAACTCAGAGAACTACTGATAGACAGATGTATCATTGCTAGCTCTGGGAATACCTCATCAATCTGGGCTGCTCTAAGGCGCGGCCTCTTTGAGGCGCCTCACGACAGTACTCTGCGAATCAAAAGGGCATCTTCAACAGAACTCCAAACCCCAAAGGGTCCAAGTACTAGTATAGTATATACTTTTGGGGCCAAAATACCTAAGTACCTACTATAATGGCACTTGGACCCTTTGGGAACCAGGACATTCTACAACATCCCCTCCGCGCCCCAAAACTAGGGGACAACAGCGCTACGTCCACTTCGATCTTAACGAGTCGTTAGGTTTGGTGTAGGTCCTTGTTGGCTCATTCACTCTTATCTGACAAGACACTTTTCATGTCGTAGCCTGGTCAGATCATGCAGGCGTAGGTAGCATGGCTGATCTGTCGTTGACAGTGTTACAGTTTACGGTGTCTACTCAATGCAAGTACCTTGCAGTAAATGTATACAAACCAACTGCATCCCGGAATCCCAACCCTGTATGCCCTCAGAGCCGGTACCTAGATCCCCAACCACGAAGCCATCTCCCAAATCAAAACCCTAAAGGGTTTAGGGTTAAGGGGTTTAGGGTTGAGGGTTTAGAGCTCAGGGCCTTAACCCCCCAACGTGTTCAAGCCTGTTGCTCGCAGGATGCGGGGCTGTAGTAGGTAGCTTGAGCAGGAAGTGGGTTTACAACCATGGCAACAAAATTGAAGATAATCAAAAAGCAAACAAGCAGATACATAAGCACACACACACACACAAGAGATATGCATATATATATATATATACACACAAGTGTGCCTGCGTGTGTATCACGATGCTTCTTTTCATTCTTCTACTTCTGCGATTCGCTGGTCATGCGAGTGGAGATTACAAACCCCAGCCGGAATGCAGAGCCTCTGTCCAGTTAATCCAAGAGTTGGCGGCACCGACGGCCAAGATCTTGCTCTGTTCCTTCCGCCAGCGCATCCCCCAATAAACCCTGAAGCCTAAACCCCCCGATTGAAATCCTAAACCAAAGGCTCTGAAGCCCAGGCCTATCATTCTACCCAAACCCTCAACCCTTAACCCTAAAGAAGCCCAGGCTTCGAGTTTCGGACCGTAATATGAGCTGGGTTGAAGGCTTGGTGGCTGAGGGTTTCGGGTTTCGGATTTCCGTCCAGCCTTTGAAATGTCAGTAGTGTCCGGGAATTGTACTCCGTCCACGACATCCAAAAGGGCCAAGTAAACCGTAAATCCCAAACTTCGAACTACAAATCCTGGACTACACCCTATAACCGTAACCTCAATCCTGAGCTCGCCAAACTTGAGCGAAGAGTCTGTCTGCAGTTCCGACGCAGAACAGACAGCACAAAGCAGCAGCAACCATGTCATGCAGGCGGAGCTATTGTGTTGACTCTGCCCTTACCATTTGGGGGCTTGCGAAAACCAGGATTTAATCCAATCTGGTTATATTGGGGTTCCTTAGTATTACTTAAATTGCTACTGAAACTATCACGGCTCGCAACTACTCAACCGAGGAAACCACAGCTATGTGCTCTAGGAGTCCACACGTTGCCCTTCAGAATATGGGGCATATTAAAGCAGGTTGCAAGCTTCGCGTCTGCGGGGAGGGGGTGTGTGGAGGGAGGGGGTGTGCTGAGTAGAAAAGGCTGGTGAGCCACCAGAATGCAAGGGACGACGGTCGAAGCCAAAAACTCTCAACTAGACCCGAAACCCTAATTCCTAAAGCCTGAACCCTAAACCCGAACTCGAACTCACTCACTCACTCGCTCGCAACGTGGTCCACAGGGGTCGCACTCTGGGGGTTTAGTAAACCCGAACCCCTTATCCCTAAATCCAAAACCTAAATCCAAGACTGCAGGCTTTATGGGAAGGGGGAACTTTCTCTTTCAGAACACCTAGGGCAACATATTGGGGCTTTGTACAGGGTTTCGGATTTAGGTTTTAGGGAATGTGGTTTTGGGGGATGTTGTATGTTATAATGCTACCATACTATAAATAAATAGAAACCTAACGAATATTATTGGCAATTGGTACATGCCAGGGTTGGGACACATTTAAAATCTGAACCCCCGACATTTTGGTATACCGAGAATAGCAAGTCTGCAAGCCCAGCGCTCTTTTGCGCTCGAAGTTTTCCGGCTTGGGGGGGGGGGGTGGGGGGGGTGTCTTTAGGACTCTAGGCTTTAGAAAGCTGTGGGATTTGGGGTTCAGGTTTCAGGATCTTATAGAGGTCTAGTGTATGTAATCGGGCTTGCGGAATGCTGCAGGCGACCCGCAACCATGCAAGGGCGGCTGTAGATGTACCGGACGCAGGTATACTCCTGAACAGAAGCCAAAGTTTGGATTGAGGCCACTCCAAAACCCAAAACCCAAAATCCTAAACCCCAAAACCCTAAACCCTAAATCCTAAACCCTAAGTTTAAAGCCCAAAGAACCCAATTGTGCCACAGACCATCAGGCCCGGAAGGTGTAGTGCTGAGGGGTCTAAGGGGCCCGGGGCTGTCTGGTAGCACACTGAGCCCTGAAACCCAAGCCCTGGGTCTCGAACCCTAACATAGGGGCCTGAATAGTTACCATTGTTTTTTTTTGGGGGGGGTTTTAGGGTTTAGGGTTTAGGGTTTAGGGTTTAGGGTTTACGGTTTAGGGTTTAGGGTTTAGGGTTTAGGGTTTAGGGTTTAGGGTTTAGGGTCCCAAGCCCTGGGTCTCGAGCCCTAACATAGGGGCCTGAATAGTTACCATTGTTTTTTTTTG